ACAGACACAGACACAGACACAGACACAGACACAGACACAGACACAGAGACACACACCTACTCATCTAAATGGAGATCTGAGAAAAATGAGTAAAATATACTGCGTTAGAATTCTCTACAAACCTACCAAGTTGATCATTTAAGTCTCTTTAACTTTTATCAATAATTAGAAAAAATAACTTCTTAATAAAGGAAGTTATATGATAATGTATTCAAATCACTGAGGAAAGACTTTAAATTTCTTAAAACAATATACGTATTGGCAAAGATACTTGAATATAGGTCTCAAAACCCAGTAAACTTAATTCCCTTCTCATGATCTCCTGTGACTGAGAGGGCTACTTTCCAATGACAGCGTACTAGCTGGTTAAAAATTTCCCTAATTTTTTTCTTAGTGACTTATTTAGGAGCATTCCTTTCTTTGAGATCCCCAGAAGACATAAGTAACTTGTAGATGCTTTTGCTTTAAGTGTAGAGATGGTGTCGAAGTACGCCAGGTTCAAATCTTGTGTATTTAAAGCTTGCTTTTCAGACAGTTGGCCAAACTCTTGAGTTCCGAAGCTCATTTGGGTGTCAGTATCTACTGATGTTCCTATAAGGCCAAAGAGCACCCTTACCGTGAAATAAAACTGTTCTGTCTCTTGCTGGTTAGCTCTCCTCTTAGCAATGCTTGGCTTGCTCATGAACGTTTCTGAGACGGTTGATTTGACAGACTCCATGGAATTGCTATACTGGAAGCAGTCAGACACATCAAAATCCTCAACAGTCACAATGTCCTGGATGGTCTGCAGGGTAGCCTCCATTGTCTTTTTCACCTATAACCATAAAGGTCAAAATAATCATGAGAAGCGGGCTATAAAATAGCAGGTGATAGAGCAACTAGGAGGAGCTTGAGAGGGAGCATGCCTCTCTTCTCAAGAGAGTGGTAGGAGGGAAGGATGCCAGCAGATTAGTCAGACTGCTCACTGAACAGTACGGAGTGGTGACCATCACAGGAACCCAGCTCCAGAACACTGCTCTCTCCAGCAAACATCTAAATACCACTCTTTTTCTGCTGTGTACCTGACGTTACACTTTTATGTAATGTTTATTTTCTTCAAAGAGACTTATTTTATGTGCAAGGATGTTTTGCCTGCATGTGTGTGTGTCTCATGCAGTGCCTGGTTCCTGGAGGCCAGAAGAGGGTGTTGGAGCTCCTGGACTTGAAGTTAGGGAGGGCTGTGAGCCACCATGCAAGTGCTGGAAGCCACGTCTGCATCCTCTGCAAGAGCAACCAGTGCTTTTAACCACTTAACTATCTCTCCAGCTCCAATATTTAATCTAAGAGTTAGTACTATTTCCTTATTATAATGGAAGTGCAAAGAAAAACAGAATAACATAATTGCAAAATAGTATTTCCATCATACCGGAGCTAATTAAAATATGTGATAGATCTTGTCCTTCAATGTTCCTGGGTGTTGTTTCATGACCTTCAATCAATCAATGGGTTTGTTTTCCTATCTGCAAACCCTACTTCATAGTAAAATGAAGACTTACTAAAATACAAGATAAGAAGCCATCTGAGCGCAACAGAAACCTGGATTACCTTTTTAAACTGGATTGTTTTTAGACTTTTAAAAACTGCCTTTAAAAACTGGATATTAAAAGAAAATATGATGTGTTTAGAAAAAAAAAGTCACCTTCCTCTAAGAGGAGAGAGATGTCTGAAGTGTCAAAGTCAAAAGGTTTCTTTCTGAAAATGCTGGAAAAAGCCAGTCATGAGTGGGTCATTTCAAAGACTTGATAATTGTTCACACAATGGCCAAGTGCCACTTTGATTAAATATGTAGTGGGGAGGGGCATTTTGTAAAAGCCCAAAATAGAGCACAACTTCTGGCAATGCAACAACTTCCTGAATTTCAAGGGCAGGATGTAGCAGCAGGGAAAGCACAAGCCTCCATTTGACCAGGAGATCTTTGCAATAGCCTGGACATTCTCTGCATGCTCCTTCCACTTGCCCCTGATAGACAGCCACAAGTAGTTCAACAAGGAAACAGTGGTTCCAAGCTGCCTAGGAAGGAAACACACCTCTTCATTCTCAATCTTCAAAGTGGATAAGCGAGACTGCAGTTGTTGGCATCTCTGCACCAGCTCACTCTGGACAGGCTGCTGGGCACAGAGTTGAGAGGCCTGTCAGAAAAAGCAATAGAAGGTCAGGAAGAGGACATATATCTTTTGAGGATTCCAGAGTTCTCACTACTGCCCACAAAACAATTCACATTGTATTGTATCCCAACTATTGGAAGGCTTGCGGTTTCTATGTGCAAACAAACTTCAAAGACGACGCATGTGAACTTCTAGACCAAACAGTACATGAAAGGGGGTGAGGGGAGAGTCTGTTTGGAAAGACCATCTCTTTGTAACCCATAGGCAGGCAGGTGTTTGGCAGGATAGGTCTAGCAGTGTCTGTAGATCTAGGGAATTCTGAGGAGAATTCACAAGAGTGTCTCAGGTAGTCCCAGGTCCAGAAATCCAACACTGGCACAGTGAAGTTCCTGCCAACAGTCCAAGTGCTCACCTCTGTGGCTCTTCCTTCCTCACTTCCTAGAGTTAAAAAGTAGGAGAGAAGTGGGCCAGGAAGTTAACTTGCTGCTGCTGGCAGCATGTATGTTTATAAATCTGGGCCATGCACAAGAGCTTTGACTCAATGGGAAAGAGTTCATGTGAGTATGGAAACAGGTTCATAAGCCCAAGTTAGAGAGCCCCTGACGACATGAGATCTGATAGAAGGAACTGGACATCTTTTAAATAGCCATCATTGTATCCCACTAGGTGTGGGATCCTCTGCACAATCTCTCCCCCTCCCGCCCCCCCTCAAGTAACCGACTTTATCTTCTGGGAAGGAACAGCTGACTTAGACTCTCCTGATAAAGGTAAAGCAAGAGGTAATCGGATCTCGTGGATGGCTGATGACAGGCAGAAGGACGGGAGGTGAAGGCTAGGACCCCTGTGGAGGTAGTTAGTACCTGTCACATTATTACCAAGTGTCCTTTAGCTCTTACCAGAAGAACTGGGCTCCTTTACCCTCAGCAAAGACTGAGTATATTCATATACTTGTAAACCATTCTCTTACTCAAAAAAACAAACAAACAAAAAAGCCAAAACAACAAAAACAAAAAAACAAAACAAAAAAACCCACCAAACTTCTCTTCAAATGGAGGGGACTGGAAATTGACCTTTTGTCCCTTTGGTATTTAAGATTCCAACTGATTTGATCTCTTCTTCAGCTGAGAGGCTTGCTCAAGATTTGGCTTTTAGAAGTAGACATAATGGAGAAAGCTTGTTGGCCAGATGGGTTACTGCCAAGAGTGAGATTTCTGTTTCTGGCCCTGATGTCATCAGTCGTGCATCCAGTGCCCCCAAACCTCTGGGTGCACCCACAGTAGAAACAGGCACCAAGCCCTAGTGCATCCAAGAGAGGCTGACATCAGCCCTATCTGTGGCCCAACACCAGTGTAGCCAATTTCAGAGCTTCCATTAAAATGCTACCTGAACTTTTGGCCCCATTTTAAGAACTTCCAGGCAGCTCCTTCCATCTACAGACATTCCACAATAAGGCAGAAAGCCAGTTAGCAGGGCCCAAGAATGACTTGATATCTCATCTCTAAGTCAGAATGTGAAATCCTGGGAAATTCTGGCCCCTTTTCTGGCCAAGACACTGATCAGCTGTATCACAACACAGGGCAAAAGAATGAACTATTATTTTTTAAAGTCACCCAGGACTTTAAATGGAAGAATTAGAGGGGAAAAAAAAATCACCTCCAATCCTGTTTCTTTAAGGAGCAGCAGAGCTGCTGATCCATGCTTTGTCAGTGATCTTTAGCCAGGATGCAAGGTAATGCACTCCATCTGTGCTTTAGAGTATTTAAATGTGGTTCTGACTGAGCAAGGAGGGGGCCTGAGTACCCATCATCTGGATTCCCCTTTATGGAGACACGCTGTTTGGCTCAGAAAGAGAACTCAGCTAACACCAGAAAATCAACCAGTCCATTCAGACAGTCCCAAGTTCCACTTATTTTGGGGAAGGAATCGCAATGGCATCTGGAGAACAGGCTTAGAAGACAAATTTGAACAGAAGTCAAAGCAGATGAGGAATGGGGTTCTTGGAGGCTGGCAATGGCCCCTTCTAACTTTAACTAACATGATGTCTTAGTTTTCCATCTGTCTAGATGCTGACATCTACTCAGCCACAACAATGGAAACAAACTGTAAGGGGTTAGGTTTTCCCCAAGAAGACAAGGAGAGAAACCACTTCATATTTTGTATAAAAGACAGAGATGTACCATTTCACTGCGGCCAGTCTATGGCAGTAAACTGTCTGATTAGCATACTACTGCTATCAGATTAGAGCAAGGTTTCTAAAGAGTCTAGATTCTAATCCAGTGAAACACTACTCCTGGCAAGAGCACCTTGCAGATTTGTGGTCTCTTCTCATCCACTCCTTTTGGTCTCACTAACTACTGTGGGGAGCTGAGGAAGCTTTTGAGAGAGTCTGTAAAAAGTGGATGAAGTCCTGAATGCATATGTACTGTTGACAAGGGCATGGTCATATCAAGGACCAATGCCATCAGAGCTAGCACAACCTACCAGACCCCAGCTTTTCTGTACATGTGTCTGCTTTTCTTCATTCTCTGGTCACCCCAGTCAGGTTTCTGGGACACAGTTACTTGGGACAAGGTGGGATACTCTCTGGGAGAACCACTCACTCTACAGCTCAAGCCAGCTGGATTAGATAATATGAACCTAGGCTCAAGGATAAATACATCAATCAAAAGCAAAGAGATATACTGCAGGGTCTGAAAGAATAGAACACAGTTTACCTGACAGGAAGCCCCCTCTCCTTCAGATGTAATAAAACTATACTTAAGTCTAGTATATTCAAGTCCCTTTGGAGGAAAGGTACAATATAGGGAAAGGCCTTACCATATCTCCCATGTGGGGCTGGAATTCAAATTTCATAGGGGGACAGAAAACATTGTTGTACATCTCCATGAGCCGTTGCTTGTCGCTGGTGGCATCTAGGTTTTCTACTGCATTTTCAATAGCATCCAGACCTTCATGTTTTGATTGTTCCAGATTTAATTCAGCAGACAGGAAAGTGCGTAGAGCCCGGTTCAGGCTAGCATGGTAGCCTAGGTCACAACACTGCTGTGGGAAGGAGAAGGCACATAAGCATACCGCAGACATTCCAAGGCCTGACAGGAAGGGAGGTGGTCTTGGGGTAGATCTGACCATATCAAAGTGACTGACTACAACAGGAAGGAAGCTGAGATTACAATGTCAAGACCTGGATAAGATTCCTTAGTTCTTGCCCCCTAGTTCAGTGGTTAGCACACCATGTAAGGCACTGAGGTAGTTAGACAGAAGAAGATTTTTAAGAAACCATGACAAGATTTAACCAAATGATATTTCATAAAAATGAGAAAGCAGTTAGAGAATTCTGTTCTGTTTCCTGGTTTGTCTGAGGATGTCATAACAACAAAATTCAGCAATAATAATACAGCCTGCCACAATTCCCTGAGGGTTGCTGTGGTTAGAAGTCACTACATAGCAAGCTTTCCAGGCCAATGGAGCAGTCAGGAGGCAAAAATCTGGAGTGGGATCAGCAGTAAATTCACATACACTCAACTCCAGGTATGAATGTATGTGAGTGTAAGGTAGGAGAAGGAGAAAACAGAAGGTTGGTTGAGTCATGACATCAACTTTTAGTGATCTGGGACAGGCCTGAGTTGAAGAAAGCTAACCCAAAAAGTCCTAAATGTAAGTGTCACTGGGAAGATTCTTATCATGTTTCTGATTTTCAACAACAAAAATGAAAAGAAGAAAGTGCTATGAAAGAAGCAATTGTAGGGGTTGGGGAATGTAGGTCAACTGGAAATGGGTTTGTCTAGCATGCATGGAGACTTAGGTTTGATTTCCCCCAGCACTGAATAAACTGAGTGTGGTGAAGGAGGCCTGAAATCTCAAGCACTCAGGAGGTGAAAGCAGAAGGATCAGAAGTTCAAGGTCATCCTCAGCTACATAATCAATTCAAAGCCAGTCTCTGTCTTTCAACAAACAACAACAACAACAAAAAAAAACAGGGCAAGAGGAATAGCCCAATTAGTAAAGTCCTTGCAGTGCAACTATGAGGAATTACATTCGATCACAAGCCTATGAGTGAGATGTCTGTAATCCTAGCACTGAAAAGGTGGGGAAAGAGGCTTAATGGTTAGCTGGCTAAGATGAACTTTTGAGAATCCTGTCACAAAAACAAGTTCAGGGCTTGAGAGATTGCTGTGTGGTTAAGAGTTCTTACTCCCCTTGCAAAAGACCTGTGTTTGGCTCCTAGCACCCATGTCTGAAGCTCATAACTGCTTGTTATTCCAGATCCAGGAACTCTAACACTCTCTTCTGGACTTGCATGGGCACCTGTACTCATGTGCATATACTCATTACACACACACACACACACACACACACACACACACACTCACAAAGGGAAACAAAACAAAACAGTAGAGGCAGAATCGAGAAGCCCTGGAAAAGCTACTCCCATCTCATCCCCTGACCTGAGTCCTTGACAGTCCAGTGAACAAAGTGACCAGTCCAGCAGTTTTCAAGCTGTAGATCACAGCTCTGAGGTTCAATGTCAGCGCCTAGGTTATCCCTGAGAAGGGCATAGGTGGTAAACCTGCTAGGAGGTCTTGGAGCACTTTTATCTTTACCTCAACAAAAACAACTCTGCTCATTTTTCTACTCAATAAACTGGGATTCTATGTGTGGTCTGGTTTGAAGAATAAGTTCTTAAGAAAAAGTCTAGAAAAAAAACCCTTTGGATTAAATGTAATCCCCAATGCTTTCTTCAGCAAAGGCATTCTGTAATACTATGACAATATTCCCTACCCCTCCAATAAAGACCCCAAGATCCAAATTCCATGACCATCAATTATCACCTCTATTATTTACACAGCTTTGATGTCCAGAGCCTGAGAGGAAATGTCAGAGAAAAATCTCTGGATAGAGTAAGGCCATCTGCCTGATTGTAATTTCACTGCATAAATAAGCATCAAATTAATTTCCCCAGCCTTTTCCTCTCATCATGATCACTTCAGGAACAGCCACTATTGGGGAAGAAAAAAACATGTGACAGGCCGCCTCCTTCCAGGCATCTGACACGAAGCTTGCAATGGAGTGCACATTGAGCTGAGCTCTGGATTCAGTGCCAACAGACTCTGGCAGGTGCCTGGCTTCAGCAGGGTAACAGCAGTGACAGCATAACTGTAGCCAGAGGATAGGAAAACACTAAATTCAGTCGGAGGAAGAGCAAACAGAATCTAGACAAAGGCGGCTGATTGGGAGGCTGCACGTGCAGGGTCCCTGCCTCCTCTAGGAGATGCTGTTAAACTAACTCATCAGGCTGCCTTTGAACCTGTAAATCTTCTTGCCTATCTCTAAGATGTCCTATAGTTCCTAAGATGAACTCTATACTTATTGGTGTAGTAACAGTAAACAAAGGTAGCACTGCCAGCAGAGTGTGTGGGAGACTGAGAAGAAAAGGCAGGGTGCTCCTCAGAAATCTTCATATATTTTTTGAAACTTTACTTTATATCTCTAACCTAATCCACATCTTATTTTATAACAGTGTTGTCTATCATAAAATATGACTTTTAGCATGTCCCTGTTGAAGTACCAAAAATGCTTATCTCTAAATAAGCTGAAATTCACCTTCAGATTGTACTTGTAAAGAATGCTACTGTTCATTAAGGATGTTCACTACATGCCAGACAGTGAACAGTCATGTATATTCTACACTTTAATCCTCATAATCACCCCACTGAAGTCTCTATTATCTTAGTTTTGTACACTAAGCTCAATGTACTGTACTACAAGCTCAATGAAGCTACATAATTTGACCAAAGTTAAATGGGCAAACAAACAAACACATAAAACACCCAAACTGTAATTTGTATGTGGTCTACCTACTCAGCATCACCTCCCTTCATGCCCCCAGTTAGCTTCTGTTGAATTCCAGTGCCATACTCTCTGCATAGGACAGAGTGTTGAAAAAGCATAGGCCTCTAGCCTAGAAAGCTAGTTTATCCCTCTGGGCTGAAAAAGGGGGGAATACCAGCTTTGTTGCTGGTTATGTGGCAAATGAACAATACACTTCACACATATCTGGTACTGTGTAGACCCTGTGCTAACACCAATCACAAGCATCCTCCAATCTACTGACCTTTACCCTTCAGTTCCTCATGTTTCTTTTCCTGAAATATTACCCTTCACTTTCACCTGCTGGAATTGGACTCAATTTTTAAGATCCATATTAAATTCTCAGCCTCTGGGAAGCCAGCCAGCCCTGCATTCCTGGTCCCACTTGGACTCAACTGTATTCATCCTCATATGACCCCCAATACACACAGTCATTCTGAGGCCTGCAATTTCATATCACCCCACCCAGAACACAGGTATCTTAGAGTTTTCCAGCATCTCGGTCTTGTTTACAATTTTTCCTAGTAGGTCTTATTCACAGGATTCAATAAAGTTGACTGATAGATGCCAGAGGCAAAGACTCCAGCCTCTCAGGAAATCATCTAGTGGGCTGAGTACTAACCCATATATTCTACTACACATAGTCTAAGAACAGCAGGGAGCTTTCCAAAGAGGGAACATTGTCTCTATTTGTATAACCATTCTGTAGTTTCTCTGTGTCAATGAGTCAGGATCAAACTTATAATATGCCCTCTAGTTCTGCCATGCTTTCAGCTAACCTAGAAGATGCGGACAGGGCTTTGGCCATCTACATATTTGTAGGGGCAAAACTAAGCCTTCAGAAAAGAAATAGTATCTGGCAGGGTTAACTGAGATTTGAATATTTCCCATGAGAATCCCAACGGATAGAGGAAACACACAATTTTGTTTATACTAGAAATAAATGCTATACAAATGCTATAAAATGCTGCACAAATACTATACAAACTCTCGGGAGAAATAAAATTTTTATAAAAAATTGAATAACAGAATATCTCAATGTATGACCTTAAGTGCACAGTTCATTATCCCCTTACCAGCTGATATTTTTCCTCAGAGAATCTAGAGAAGACCTAGAAACGAAAAATGAGTGTTTCATATCACCCTTCAATTTCTTACAGGAGAGAGAAAAACAATAAAGTTTTCAATAAAACTTCTAATGGGAAAGCCAAGTTCTCTCATGTCCAGTTTCAGTGTATGTGGCGTCACAGACTTTCTAGGTACACTCACGACACTCCAGCTACCCATCATAGCAATTCCCTGCACTTCACTTACTCATCTGCTCCTAGACCAAGAGATAAAGTATACAGGTGAGGAATTACACTCCAACAAGCCTACAGTCCTTAGAAACTACCAAGTGAAATCGAAAGGTCTTTTTTGGCAGAGAGTCAAGTTTTTTTTTCCCACTATATGTATGACGTCTTATGTGGATTCTTACATCTTTTATTGCACTATACAAGAAACTGTCCTTATGTCAGTTAAATGACATTGATTAAAAAATAACTTTTTATTTATCCTTAATGTCTTAATACTGACTGAGTCAGACCCTTGGAAAGGAGGCATATGACACAGATAGCAATGGCCTGGAATGACACTCATCCCTCCCATGTCTTGAATCCTGTCGAGATCGTTATGTCCACGCATCCAGGCTCCCCACTCACTCTTTGCTTCTTTGCTACACAACAGTTTGGGCATTTTAAATCACATAGAACAGCATTAAAAAAGGAAGAAACTACTGATAGATGCAAAAACTATGAATAATGCAAAAACAACAAACAAACAAAAAAACAAATTCCTGGGTGAAAAAAAATATAGATACAAAAACTATATTCTGGGGCTAGCAAGACAGCTCAGTGGGTAGAGACATTTTGCTATGTAAGCCTGGTAGCTTGAGATCAATTCCCATGTGCACTGGTTTGCTGCAACTGTTGACTTGATGCAACCTAAATAATCTAGGAAAATAATCTGTGAAAATGTCTATGGAGGACTATTTTGAGTGTTAACTTATGTAGAAAGACCTTTGTAGAGGGCAAATTCCCTATAGAGAGAGTTCTAAACTGTAAATGAGAAAGCTGGCTGAAAGCAAGGAAGCAAACAAACATCCAGGCAGCCAGCAAGAATGATTATTTTTACTAAGGATGTAACAGGACTAGCTATTTCTGTTCCTGCCTTGACTTCCCTGGAATGATGTACTATAACTCTAGACTGTAACTAAATAAAAGCTCTCTTCCCGAAGTTGTGTTTTGTTATTTTATCACAGCAACAGAAATGAAAAACACCACATAAAGGTGAAAGGAGAAAAGTGAGTGTACAAAGTTGTCCGTTTCCTGGGTTCCATACATACATTGTAGTATGTACATGTCCACATACAGCCAAATAATAACTAAAATAAAATAAATTATATTCTGTACTATCCGAGTTTCATGACATTCTCCAACAGGCAACATTAACTTAGGGTTTGAAGAGTTGAAATAGTGATTCCCTGGGTTACAAAATAAGAACTTTCTGAAATAGTGAGAATATATTTTCATATTGTCTTTCTCCCTGTGTCTCTTTGTTGTTGCGAAACAGTCTCAGAGCCTAGATTTCTACATCCTAAGTGCTGAGATTCCAGATGTGTGTTGTCATGGCTGGTTAAAGATACTTATTCTATATCTTGCTAAAAATATAGGTCACAAGGAATATGCAAATTTATAAAAAACTCTTCAGACTGTAACAATCAAATCAATCAATCAAGTTAATTAATCATGGAATGTAAATTATACATGAAAAGAATGTTAAAAATGCAAAATTAAAAAGCAAATCTTGATTAGGAGATAATTTTTTCCCTATTCAATAAACTATGTACTCAGCTACAAACTACTACTTAAGGTAAAGTAAGTAAGTCTTGGTTCCTGACTTCTTGGGTCTTAAAAGAGAGATACAGTGACTTTCATTTTAATCCTCAACTCACAGTAAGAAATACATCTTACATACTTACACACACACACACACACAGACAGATGTGTAAGCACACACATGCCTAACATAAAATTTTCATAAAAAGATCTTAGCCATATAATAGTGTGATCTAATCTGATATTTTCTCCCTTATTCTAATCATTTAAAGTAAGTTAAATGCACAAGTATGACTTCATTGTTCCCATAATGGTTTGAAAACACTAGAGTGCATGAATATGTCTTAGGCAAAACCAGTTACATTCTATTTATAACCCTGATGCTGAACGTATATCTCACGCCATGAATGTACTAGCTGATTATGGAGAATAGTAGTAGCATCTGCTTTTTAAAAAGGGGTAATGTTCATTCTATAAAAATAAAAAACAATGAGTTCGAGGCCAGTCTGGTCTACAGAGTGAGTTCCAGGATAGCCTGGGCTATAAGGTAAACTCTGTCTTAAAAAAACAAAAAACAAAAAATAAAAATAAAAATAAAACAACAAACAAAATAAGATACAGTCAAAACACAACTCCAACAAAGATCACATTTGCTCATGTCCTGGACTGCTGTCTGACTGGACTGCTGCAGCCTGGGCTTGTCCATCATCCCCTAAGCTGTTAAGTAGGTACTACAGAGGCTGTCTTCTTCTCCAGTGGCTCTTCAAACTACATCCTGTGAAACATAGGCTCTCAGCAAGGAAAACGTACAAAATATCTTGCTTCTTATATCATTTTTTCAAACAGCTACCCATTTCTGATAAAGGGCCTATGGATTACGAGATTGTAACTCATACAGCAAAAGCCTCTTTTCTCCTGAAGTATGCAATCTATTGAAATTGGTACAAATATTCTCTAGAGGCAAAAGGAAGAAGGCAGGCCAGTAAAAGGGCTGTAACATCTTATCTGGTCTAATTTTTTTTATCTTATTCATTTTACCAAATGTGAGCTAAATAGCAGAAAGTGAGCATAAAAAGTGACTGTCTTCCTCGGGCTGAGAATAGGCCTCTACTTACAGTGAAGAAGAATGCAGGGACTGGCTTTGGGTTTTGACCTCACTGAAGGACAGTGTTCAGATTGGCATCAACAAGCAGAGAGAACAAAGAGGAGCCTGAACAGAGACCAGGGCTCCACTTACCAGCTGAGACGATGACATCGAAGGCCTTAGGAGGCCAAAACCTACTCATCAAAACTCCCTGGCTGAAAGGATATCAGTCTGTATTTTAGAAAAGTTCTCCCAGCAACTCTGATGTAGGCCAGATTTAAACAGTCCAGGTCTTTATTTTACTAGGAGCAGAGGGGCAGGAAATAAAGCAGAGTTCTAGAATAGTTCAGTAGCATGCCCAAGAAGTGCTACCTAGTAACCTAATAGTGAATCTGAGCCTAGATCCCCACATGATGTAGAGCATAGCAGGTGTGCTTGAGAAAAAACCATGTTAGAAAATCACCGGCTAGAGTGTCACTCAGTGGCTATTGCCAAGAACCTGAGGCAAACAACAGGTCTCTGAAAGGATACTGTTGATGCCCTAGAGACTGGACTGCTGATGCTCAATCAGCTGGCTCCAGAGCCACTTTGGTGACTGGAAGAAGACATGAGAGAAGGTATGCTTGTGTAGCTTCATATAAAGCTGGCCTGGGAATTGGGTCAGACTGCAGTCTGTATGTGACAGACATGTTAGGATATAGGAATTGAGGAGAAGCAGTAAGAGATCAAAAGCAAAGACTAACTCATAAGGTCAAAGACCTATGGCTGTGCCTGCTGCCTACAAAGCATACATGTACACTAACCCCTTCTCCCTCTCATTTTTGTGCAACATCTCAAAAGAGAACAGGGCAGATATCAGTAGCATCTGGATACTTTCTGGTCAAGAGCTTAGTTTGCAGCACATTGCAAACCCAAACCTCAGGCAAGTATGTCTCTTAATTCTCTGGGTCACAAATTAAGACAGCATTGTGTATCTACAGGGGTGATGGGACAATTAAGGAGAAGATCCCAAGAAACATGAAGTGATATAGAAACATAAGGAAGGCATTTTAACTCTTCTTATTGCTTCTTTCTACAAGCTTTGATGTAAGAGACTATTTCTTGACAAACAGAACACAGCAGTCATGAACATGGGTTTAGAAATGAGAATTTGGTATAAATTTTGTCTCAGCCTTTTACTAACTCTGTGTCAATCACTACACTCTCTGAGTTTCAGTTAACAGCAATAGATGGCATTGCTTTGTTCTCATGGAATGCTGTGATAAATGAATGATTTGGAGCATAAGGCACACCACAATGCATGGCTGCTATTCTCACATTGTTCTCAAAATGGCCAAGATGCCTGAACACAGAAATGAAGAACTCGTGACCAGGTTTCTGAACTAGGCAAGAGGTGGCCCCAGCCTCTCACCCCAGCTTTAGGTACTTACATCGATAATATCAGACAGGTCATGGATGTAGTACTTGAAGACAGATGCATTGGTTGCCTCCAAAGCCAGTAAATACTCATTCCGGGCTTTAATGGCCTTCAGCTTATTCTCTGTGTACTTGGCTTGTCGCTAAAAAGAAAACACAAGTTCATTTTTAGTTTTTTAATTAAAAAGTTAAAAACATTTACTTACTTCATGTGAAGTGGTATGCAAGCTCGTATGTATACATGCCATTATATCTCTGTGGATGTTGGAAGGCAACTTGTAGGAGTCATTTCTTCCTTCTACCATGTGGGTGCTTGGATCAGACTCAGGTTGTCAGGCTAAGTGGCATCCTTACCTGATGAGCCATCGTGGTGACCAGTCACTGTTACTGTTATGATTGTGTTTTAAAGGGAAGGCTGTTCTGTGAGAAATGAAGGCCAGCACATCAAGAGCCCCCTTTGCTGTTATTCCCTGTGTATCCCTGCTTTCAAGTAGATTCTAATTCTGATGAATGAGAGGAAAGGTTTAGATATGCACTCTACAACGATTCTGTCTTCACACATTATTCTCCACCCTGCTGTTGGCCTTGAAGAGGTGCCTCTAATCTCTACCCCAAACACTGGTATTGAAAGCCAAAATACAAGGTCTAAAGTCTCCCCTATTTCTCAAAGCAATAAGGTATTTCACTTGATTTGGAAAATGGGATGAGAAAAGTGACTACTGATTCCTGTCAATAAACTTGACATTAAAATCTGAGAGTTTTTAAAATCTTAGATTTTTCCAATAGCCAGGATTCCTGGCAGGACAAAGAAGGACTCTAGTCATTAGGCACGAAAGGAACTGCTTTGTTCAGCTCTTCGTGGCACCTGTCATTATCAATCTTGCCTTCCAAGCATCCCTTCCTGTCTCTACAGTTGTCAGAGCACATATACCTTCTCCTTCATCTTCTCAATCTTCTTCACTGAGCTCCTCCGGACATGTTTCTCCTCAATGCGGACATTGGTGGTGGAGTCAGGGGAGCGAGGGGTCTGCCGGTCCTCTTGCTTTACTGATTTGCCAATTTGCTTCTCTTCTTGCTTCTCTGCTTCCTTTAGTTTGCTCTGAGCACTGATACTGTCGGCATTGTACATGTGATATGTCTTCATGACCTGTAATACATTTCTCCCAGATGTCAAGCTAATGGATTCAACTTTATGTTACAGTTATCAAACTCAGCAGGGCCTCTCCTACATGAAGTAATATTCACATCTTTCTAGGGGAAAATCCAGTAATGTCTGTTCAGCACATGTATATTAAGGTCTACACTTAAATATAGGACAGCTTATTGCAATGAGTCCATATTAATTTCATCACTTTAAAAAATCTTTTATTCATTATTATCTGTAAGCATGACTCTTATATTGGTTCAGTGATTTCTATTGCTTGGTTACCTCATGGTACTAAGTAGACAAGAAATAAGAACAGCTTTCTCAGAACTGCTTTATCTCCATTAGATACCTGATGTTTCTTGCAGAAACATCACCAGCACCTACCATTTACTGTGTACTTAATATATTTTTGACTTTGTGCCAAAGACCATCATCCCCACACACACTTGTTAATTTCATTGATGAAACAATTCTACACCCTAGACAATGTCCTGTAAAGGCTGTAGACTTGCACAACTCAGGTAAGAGCCTGGGAAAGAAGACAATTCATATCAAATGTAATTGGAATTGGCCACAAGCAGGAAGTAACATAAAAAGAAAGATACAAGGTCAGGTGTGGTGGTGCATGCCTTTAATTCCTGCAGTCTGGAAGCAGAGCAAGAAGATCTCAATGAGTTCAAGGCCACCCTGGTCTACAAAGTGATCCCAGGATAGCCATGACTATATAGAGAGACTTGCTCTCTTTAAAAACCAGGGGTAGGCGGGAAGGAACATAATTTTCCAAAAGAGCTATTGTCTAGGAATTGAACAGTTTTCTTAGCAAGAAGGCCAGGAAGACTGAATCTCAGCTCATTTCCAGTCGTCTGAAGTATATTACTTACAGCTAAACAGGGCCAACTCTACTCTGCAGGAAGTTTCTGTTTCCACATAGGCAGCTTTCAGATTCTATGTGGGATTAAAACACTTGATAACAAATCAAGCAACGGGAAATTCACAAGTGCTGAAATTTTGATGTCATGAGGTTTCTTTGAAGAGGAGGATCAGAAAGCCTAGGAGTAGGGAGTGCTTTTGAGTGGCTGAAAACAGAGAAAAGTACGATTGAATATCACTAATAATCTCCAGCACTCAGTGCACACTGTGTGTCAGGAGTGTTATGTATGCACACTCAATCCTCACAACAACTCTATGAAAGACATGTTAGCATTTCTACTTTTAAAGATAAGGAAGTAGGTCTCAACGACATTACCTACAGCACTGAAAGTCTTACAACTAGTCGATGGCAGAATTCAAACTTAGATCTACCTAACTCCAAAGTCTACATCTTATCCACTACTGGACAGTGACTATCCTCTGCATAGGACTGAAGCTGGACTAGGTGGGAGGAAAGATAAAGGACAGGATATTTAGAAATGAAACTACTCAACTGAGAGCAGCATCTCAATTAGGGGCTGTTTTAGACTCAGAGAGCAATTTACAAAGTCTAGAACTTAGAAGTTGCTAGTAGGTAGAGACAGGGATACACGGAGAGTCCATAACAAAAATGTGTCTGTTTTAGAATTTCAGTGGTGCTGAGGCTGGGAAAACCTGGTACCTTTAGATATGCTTAGGTTCACCTGGAGTTGGAATTAGGAATAGAGAATACAGAGGTATAGAACAGCCTCAGTTATGTCTCATTTTAGACTGAGAGAAATTTAAATACTGACCTTGCACTGAACCTGGCATAATTTCCTGAAAACTCCACCTTGCACATGCTCTGTGTACCAACAGCCAATGGTCTTAGCAAAGCTTTGCTAGGACATCTGACCAGATCACTATTTTTCCAGGTTGAGAAGTTAGAAAGGTACCTGCTCTGCTGGCTGAAGAAGGATAGACAAAGGGGTCTTTTTCTCTTTTTTAACTTGAATAAGACTAAGGAATTCAAGCACTAGAGTAAAGCATTATAAAACAGTGCATTTTTATTTTATGAAGTACAGGATAAAGAAGAAACATGGCAAATGAGCATGGGAAACCAAAGCACTCAAATGTAAGAAAGCCAGCAACTTCTATTGTTCCTTGCCTTAAAGAACGTAAAGAAATTAAATTCTCAAAGATAGCATGACTTTTTTCTTTGGATTCTCTTTCACAGTTAGGAAATGTCATATATATCTTACTTTAAAATATGAGCAAGCAGCCAGGTGTGGTGATGCACACTTGTAATCCTAGCAGTTAGGAGACAGAGGCAGGGACATCTCTGAGACTGAAGCCGGCCTGGTCTAAGGAGTGTAGGACAGCCAGGGCTACACAGAGAAATTCTGCCTCAAACCCCTCCCCCCCACACACACACAGAGAGAGAGAGAGAGACAGAGACAGAGAGAGAGAGAGACAGAGACAC